AGAAATCGAGATATCTGTAATTGAAGGAAGTGAGGTTTTAGTAAGGAAATTAGTGACAAAATGGACGGCAAAATTGTGTAACTCCAACAGCTAGAGAGTCCCTGAAGACAGGAAAAGAACATATTCTGTACCTTTAATCAATGTCTTTCAGTAACACCCACAAGGAAATGTGCTTTCATATGGACATAAAAGACGTTTAGCCAAAAAATAGAAATTCAATAAAAATTTCAACTGGCGGAAAAATGCCCGTTTCTCCAATTTCTGCATTTTGACGAGCGCTTGATTTCTCCACGCTGCCTCACAAATAGAAGTAAATAAAACAACTTAAAAAAAATTACAAAACTGACGGCCCAGTGATGCGTTGAATCGCTTGAAAAACCGCCCAAGTACCCGATGAGAGTTGTGTGCAGCGCACTATTGACACTGGAAGGACAAAGTCGGACCGATCGAAAACCGTCGGAAATACACCCGATGCACCCTGACATGACAAAGAGGTTTTTTTGCTTTGGGGACTACTTGACATTATACGAGCTTAGTTCTATCATTCTTGTTCTGAGTCCACTTCCCTGGGTTTTGACGTAAATCACTTTGAAAGCAAAGCACTGAGCCGGGTGGTTGGTTGGCAGGTGCTCTTGTGAGGTTTGTTTTTGTTTTTTTCTTTCTCATCAAACATAATAATCTGTCATGCATATCTTTTCTTCTTTTTTAGTTTAAGTAAGAGCTTTACGGCACTTGCAACACAACAAGGTCATATAAGTGCCGAAGATAAGAGGTGTTACAAGAGAGTAACAAACACAAAACAGAAGGAGGGGAGATAGGGACTATAGAATGTTTGATAGGAAAGAAGGAGCAGACCACACCAGAGCACCCGCCAACTACCCACCTTTTCTTCTTTTTTGTCTTTGTTACTCTCAAGTCACACCTGTAATCTTTGGCACTTATATTACCTTACTGTGCAACAAGTGCAGTGAAACTTTTGCTAAAACAGAAATCACTGAATTCCTGTCGCTAAAACTAGAGTGAGTAAAAAATTATAGAAATGAAATTGAGGGGAATTTAAGCAATAACGGTGATAGTTTGGGACATGCTCAACGAACAGATTTTCCATTGCGCTGCTCGTTTTAACGATGGTATAGTTAGGCAGCGATCTGAAAATTGCGTTGATATTTTATATAAAAAAAAAAAATTCACTTCCATTTTTATTATTTTACTCACATCAAGGAACATTCACATATTATATTTTCAAAAGCGAAAAATATGAAAATTAGTATTAAAATTCACATACAAAACTGAAGAACTCACAAGAAATATACGAAGTCAGGTATCTAACTCAAAGTTCACAAAGTACAATTATTTTAATTCATATATATATTTTTAAAAAATTCACTTCCATCTTTATTCTTTTACTCACGCCAAGGAACATTCCCATATTTTCAAAATTGTAAAAATATGAAAATTAAAATTAAAATTAACGTATGAAACTGAAGAGCTGAAGTAAGGATGATACAAATATGTGATAGTTAAAACCTGCAGCGTAATCTTAAATCGGTAAAAGCGCAAAACAATAGCAGTGACAAAAACTCTCAGTCTGTAGTTGGAGCTAGTACAAGATAGAGGAAAATGGTGAAATGGTACCGTAATAGTAGGTGTAACGCCCCTATCAACACTATAAGGTTACTTAAGAGAACGGACTTCCGAGTTTATCGTCCATCTCCAAAGGACCGATGCAAAAAAAAGAAATTAATGTAAAGTACTGAGGTTTAAACCCCCGAACCCGAAATCTCACGATTAAGTAGCCCAACCATTAGACTACCGACGAAACCAAATAAAGCTGTCAGCTGATGTATTTCAAGGCATAGATTGATAGATAACACTTTTCGCTTTGTTTTGTTTTTGTTTTAGTAGAGGTTTTTCTTTCAGGGGTTTTTTTTCTCGGTGTGAAGAGGAGCAAGGGTGGGTAGGGGGGGGTGGGGGGGTAGTGGTATGGGAAGAAAAATAATAATATATTGTTTCCACTTCAGATCACATTCCTTAAAGGCTTTATGGACTACTCCACATAACGCTGTCTTAGTTCTATCACGTATACCTGTCCTTCTGAAATGTTAACAAACAGTTGTTTTTTGTTTGTTTGGGGACTACTTGACATTATGCGAGCTAAGTTCCATCTTGCACTTTCGTCGTATAACAAACTACACGTAGTTCCCGCTTTGAGGACTACTTGGCATAACGCCAGCATAGTTCCATCTTGTACACCTGATTCAAATGTGAGGCAGCGTGGTGGAACCAGGCTCTCGTCAAAATAATCAAAGTGAAGAAACTAGCATTTTT